GAGTCTAACCCAAGGCAACCATTTAAACGTTCCAGTTGCTGACTATAGTTCTCTGCATAGACGGTTCGCTGTAGATTGAGGAGTTCGAAATGAATTACTCCTTTGATGTCCCACCAAATGCAAAACATCACTTTCTGCGGATGAAGTCCAGGTTTTGGGGTCGAAAGTGGTTTTTTATAGTACTGAGCCATTGTTCTTGGTGCTTAATATTCGCATAGAGAATCCATTTTTCATCACCGGTGACAATTCTGTCCAAAAATGGTTCACGCGCATTATGCGCCAGGAGAGACGAAGCAATGTTCACATGTTGGAAACGGTGATCATCGGAGAGTTCGTGAGGCACCCAAACACCTTCTTTGTGGAGTTTTCCCATATTCCTTAAATCTTTACGTATTGTTTCACGAGAGACATGCAATTTCAGGGCTACTTTACGAGTGTCAAGCCCTTCATCAGAAACGAACACCTTTCCGATTGACAAGTGAAGGGCATAATCTTGTGTTGCGTCAAACGTGCCACATGTGGACGTGCATTGTCGTGGAGAAGAAGGTTCACATGTGGCACGTTTGACGCAACACAAAATTATGGAGTTGGGTTGGGAAGTTCTCCTCCACCCACTATATTATCCAGATATGGCACCACCAGATTACTATCTTTTTTGTTCGCTACAACACCATCTTAATGGGAAAACGTATGCAAATGTGGAAGGTGTTAAAGAGTACATCGACATGTGTTTTACTTCAAAGTCAAGTGATTTCTTTAATCAGGGCATTAACAACCTGACTAAGATGGAAAAGCATCATCGATAAGAATGGAGACTATTTCATTTAATAAATGTTGTGTTTTGATATATAGTTTGTTCGGGTTTTTTCATTTATAAAAAGCGACATTAATTTCTTGACGACCTAATACTATATTAAAACTAATTCTGCACATATACATCTAACAAGTTTGCCATCTACCGGTACAAAAAGTAAGTAGATCCAGAACCAATATGGCAACTTCACGGCTTACGACTATGGTGCCCAGACATTTTAACAGTTAGGTGTTATTTACAAAATATTTCTTAAATTAGAAGATTACTCATTGAATTTTAAATAAAATATTAGAAAAACAAGAAGATACCTAATTATTGGCAAATATTGGACCACTAAGCTTGTATGTTGTTACTAATTTAGGCCTTAGTGATATGTGGTAGGACTCTACTAGTACTAGTTACTATATTTTAATTCATTAATACTAAACTAGTAGTAGTAGAACTAAATGATGGTTAATAATGGCTGGAGACTGCTTGAATGGGTAATGAAGAAAACTTTAATATAAGTTTAACATAAATTATATTAAAGTTTTTCTTTATTACCCATTCAAGCCATCTCCAGCCATTATTAGTCTCAAAGTGGGTTCCTCGTCACCGAATTTAAATGATGGTTAGAACTTAGAAAAAAAAATCATGGCCGATTTCTCTTACTTGTATGTGGAGTACACTCTTGAAATGCCAACCGAAGCGTGAAACTTTATAATTATGAACTAACGTTCCACAGTTATTAGAGGGGGGAAAAGAGAGAAAATAAATTTCTCTTTCTTCCAGTTCCAGATGTATATGACTAACATAAAACAAAAGTTATAATTGATTTGTATTCTTATAAACATATTCAGTTGAAGTCTTAATCTGATGGAACCAAATGCTATTATTATTCTTTCTGTTTAATTCCACAAAAATAAATATTATTAGTCTTCACTATTCATTACATGCCATCAGTATTTAAACTTCAAAATTAAAGTCCTGCACTTATTGCAAAATATAAATTTGAAAGATATCGTTTTAAAAATTCAAAAAATGTTTTATTAAGTGAAATGTATGGATTAAAGGGTACACTATACACTTTCACCCAGAATCAATAACAGTCCCAAATAGTAAATTTCAAGCATTTAATTAGACCATGAAGTAGTTACTTCACAACCTGATAATCATACTACACATATAGAAGTGTATTTTAGGGCCAGTATAATTTATAAACAATGCATAAGTTTGCCTAACTAAAGTATAAAAAAATCTACAATGAAGTTTAAAATTGGAATGAAAAACTCAGAATATGTGTAGTAGATGTAGATACAACTATATTTGTATTTTAATATGATACTGTTTTGTGTTCATTCACCCATGCTTTCATTTGCCTTGTGTAAAGAGCTATTAAATAGATCAAACTTTCATACTTGAATCCAAGAGCTCATGAGTAATAATAAAGTGGAAGTATATGTAGATTGTGTATATGTATTTATGATTTCAGTAATATATTTATAATTCAGTTTTGTTTCCTTTTGAAGGGTCCTGTTTTTATTTGATAGAAAGAAGTATTCATAAAAGTGTTCCTCTTTTTGCTGGCAAAAAGTGGAGGGAGAGGTTGGTTTACTAATTTTTCAATTACTCTGACTCTATTTAATATTTATAAAAAAATAATAATTACTATGCAGTATTTTTTATTAAATTTGGTATTTATTATCACAAAGTAAGAAAGAAATATTTGTACTCTAGTTACATCAGTATTTAATGCTGAACCTTTTTTTTTAGTTACAGCATATACAACAATTTGAGATGGTAAGCTGTGTAAAAATTATATTTTGTTGATTAGTTTTCAGAAAAAACACTTATTCTGTCTACAAGTATTCCAGATTTTATTTGTAATTTGCAATTTGGTGTGCAAAAAAATTATACCAAGGGGCAATATGCTACAAGCATACATAGAAATCTTCTTCTCCAGTGTGTCATGTTTCCATGGAGGCATTGACAATCATAACTTTCCATTTCTCTTTGTCCCTGGTGTTCTTTAGCAATTCTGTTGTTGGTGTTCACAGTTCCTAACCATCTTGTGAGTCCATCAAACATCTTTATTCTTTGTCTCCCTTTGCTTTTCTTTCCCTCTATCTTGCCAGTTGTTACTATGTACTTTTCATTACATGGAAATAAACAGACATTATTGCAAACATCTAGGCAACCATGATATCAGTATGTGAGAACCTGTGTGTGTATATACGTATATGTATATATACACATACAAACACAATTTCCGATATAACTGACAGAGAAATACTCTAGAAGAATCATATTTTAAATTTAATTTTGTGGTTGTTTTGACGTAAGATATCTGCTGATGTGGAAGGTTTCAGTAAAATTGAATAACATTGTTGAAGAGAGTAATTCTTCAATATTTGAATAGTGTTATGTATTTTGTGAGGTTACTAGAAGACTACAAAATAATCACTTGACAACAAAATACTCCATTTCTGCACTACATTTATGCTCTAGGAAACCCATTAAAATTGAGAAATATTACCAATATTTGATCTTAATATGACTTTACATCATTCTCTTCTATATTTAAATACAATACTTTAATTTAGAGCACAAAGGGACATACATTGTTCTAAGAATAAACTAATGTCAACTTTCATTCTGTGCCACTTTTGAGGCAACATGTTTATTAGTTCATGGGGGTTTTGGGAAATGTTAACACACACATAGTTTTTGAAGAAATTTAAATGTTGAAATACTGTTATATCTTTGGTGAGAACTCGTGAAGACTGCAAGATAGTTGTTCTCAGAGACAAAGAATATTTCATATTTGAGTAAAGTTAAAAACCAAGCACTGGCCTTGATGTCTTTTTTGGGTGTATGAGTTGATTACCTATATCTTCACAATACAGATTTCTGATTGGTTGAGATAATCGACCTACTCCAGTACCTGTGTAATTAACTTAACACATTTTAAGCCTAAGCCCACTTTTTAAAAATTAGAATCAAACAAAATATAATTCTCTTTGTAGCAATTCATTTACTTCCTAAAATTTGTGAGAGATTAACTTACAGGAAAGGGGTAGGTGGATGCAGGCTTAAAATTTCAATATTAATCTATCGAAATTTAGGGTAGGCAGTTATAATTCACATTCTTAAGATATAGATAATGTGTAAATGTGATATATAGATGCACATGCTGAGTTGTTCATTGTTGTGTAATTCAGTTATTAGCAGCTCATTCATTAAAACTAGAAATTTTCCTAAATGTACCTAAAATATAAAATACAACAAATAAACTTGAAAGGTGAGATGGCAATATTGTAGATAATTTTTGATGAAAAATCTGAAAAGTAATATATAAATTAATGAAGCTAATTTTACATAAGAAACTGACAAGGAATACACATTTTATCAATCAATATACAAGAAAAGTAAAACTTAAAATGCTTAGGACTAATGAAAGCATCAGTTGAATTCCTTTACTATTAACAATATTTTTTGCCCGTTATTCCAATATTATTGCGTGAATTTTGACCAGCTCAAATTTAGTAAGTCCCAAAGTGCATATACTAATTTATCAATTCACCATAACCTTCATGAGTCTAAATGACAATAATGATCTAAGTTATTTTAAGCATTATAATTAATAATATTTAAAAGTAAATGGAGTTTGTCATTAATAAGTGCAAACTTGCAAATGTGTTATTTGCCTGTTTAATTTAAATGTTGGAGCAACATTTGAACAAGTGTCAGTTTTGTTTGAATAGCAACTCAAAGTTAATTTTTAAAATTTTTTTTAAGTTACAAGACCTATTCCAAAACTTGATTGGAATAATTTGAATTACAAAAATTTTTCTTTGTAACCACATTTTATGCATAACTACAGCATTAGGATTCATTTTAGAATTTATTTATTTTTTTTTATTCTCATTATATTCAGTAATCGCATTAATGTATTTCACATCAAAAACTTATGTGAATAGTTTTATGATGAAAATGTTTTAAAACTTAACATGATGTTATACATTTTCTGTAGAAATGGAAAGGCACCAAATGGTAATGAATTTGGGCCACTGACTGATTATCCTGACTGGTCATATGCTGGTAAGACTATTTAGATCAAAATATTTTTGTTTGATTAAATATTAACCTATGGAAGTATTGTAAATTTAAGAAGATAAGTAAATATGTAACTTGGAAGGTGTAATGAGCTTCATTAATCTGTATTAAAAATAAAAGTAAGATGTATCTTGCACCATCTAACATATTCTTTAAACCAGTACTACATATCTATATCAATATATTATTGGCATATTGTGGAAAGACTTCCATTTTGCTTTTACTTTCACCAAATAATGTTTCATTGTTATAGTTTGAGGCTTTTTGAAAGTTATATATGGCTTAACAAAATATTTCAGTGAATGGAAAGTTTTTCGTTATGCAGCAGGTTACATGGATAATAACAAGTAGTGCTTAAACTGTTAAAATAATAGTATAAAGGTTACTAAGGATAGGATCATGTTCATGTAGTGTTAAATTGTTATTTTTATAAAATACATAATATTTGAAATGTTCAAAATTTAGAACAGAATTTGTTGATGTCACTTAAATCAAATCTTCTACATATTCTCAAAGAAAGCACTTCTGATTAACATTTCATATGTTCATGTATTCCGAAGATTTCAAAATGCAGAATTGTAAGTAACATTATATAATAAAATATATTTGTACTCTATAGTTAGTGTGTGCAACACAAGCCAATGTTACTATGGTATTGTAGTTTCTGCTTAATGATACTTTATATACACTGTAATTATTGTGTTCAACACAATGTTACTGTTTCTACTGAATTGTGCTTTATTACTTGATGTATCCTTTAGATACTGTGTGCACTGGCAGATTCAGAACAGGCAACTGTGGCATAAAAATAATCTTTTATAACCAAATTTGACTCGTACAAAAATCACAAAAAATTTGTACAGATTTACTTTTATCTTATATATTAGTTGTAAATAATTCTTTGTTCTGTTTCTAAAAATGTCTCATTGAACCATTCAGTTATTATTATTATTATTATTATATGTATATGTTTATCTACTGAGTCTCTGGATCAGTCCATGATTGTGTGCAATGTAAGTAATATTACTACTGTATTGTATTTTACTGCTGAATAAATTTACTTATGTTATCTAACCCTTTCTCTGCCATGTGCTCTTAGGGCCTACAACATATCTGTTTGTATGTGTGTGTGTGTAGTACTGTAGAATCTGTGACATATACAAATGTTCTTTGCCTATATCTCCACACAAAAATATTTTCCTTGTCTATGTATATAATGTATCCCATGAGAATTCACAAGTTTTCTTGTGGTATATATATTGTGTAGATCACATGACTTTATCGTAATACCACCATACGTCTTTGTCAGGATAACATGATTTCACAGAAGTTTTGGGCTGAAACCTGGGTCTTCTCCAAAATTCACTTTTTTTTTGTCTGGGATGATAGGGAAGGAAAATTTGTACAACAGAAAGCGTAGTTGTTTCCAGTACATATATGTAAAATAATGAATGATCCACATATTGTTACCATTTCTTTAAACAACTCTAATTTTCCATGAAATGTAATTGCTGGTTTAATTTGCACACATTTGTTAACACTGGTGAAATGTTGTTTCATGCTGACTTTGTTTTCACCATCTAGTACTGCCGAGTTTCTATTTATATTATAGTTTTGACTAGGTCATCATTTCAGCTTAGGTATACCTGAGCTTGAAAATGTACAATTAAATCATATTATTTTCTGTGAAAGTTTTTTGTATACTTCTTCTCACAGATGGAAGGGCAGGACTACTGGGTAAAGGTCAGAAAAGACGTTTGGTTGAACAAGAAGGATATGCTGTATGTACAGTTGATATTATTATTTTTATTCCCTTTAACAATTTTTTGAATAAAAATTATGAAATTAGAAGTTATTAGATTATGCGGTTATGACTTGAATGTTCTGGAAAAGTAACACCTTATTTTCAGACATAATGACTTTTCTCTTTTTGCAATCAGTTTGTTTGTGGAGATATTTAGTTTGGAACTATAGAGAGTTCAGTTGAATGACTTTATAAATACAAGAATCTGGTTTGGGTGATTCGTTAGAAGGACTAATCCATTTATGTTTTTGGTTCTCCATAGCTACCATAATGTAAAAAGATGTCAATCAATATCATAGTTACCATGCAACATCTTTTTTTAAAATCAGTATTTATTAGTTTTCCAGCAAAATGATCTTTCACTAATTTTTTACTGCGATTTTGGTAATCCTAACTGATGGGCTTTCTTGAGTTGTGTGGAAACTTACCAGACCTGCAAAAACTAAAAACTGAGGATTTTACCATATGAACTTTGGAGTAAACAGACACAGAGGCTGTAAAACGTTCTTTTTGTATGCTACATTAAATAAATAGACATGTAAGCTGTAAAACATAGAGGACAACACATTATGTTAAAGTTAAGTATATACAAATTTCACTTAGTTTTTTGCATCTATCCCTGTTCTTGTTTAGTTGTCAAGTGTAAATTTTCCCAGCACTTCAACTAGACTGATCTCAAAAAATATTGCAACAGGAAATTGACATACATTTTTCACACCCAGATTGTAGTCATGCTAGAATTTGAGGATAATGTTTTCAATTTCAAATAGTAAACTTATAGGAAGTGTTTACAGTTTTAAACACTATAATTAAAAGTTATAGGACATTTGGTAACAATAAATCAACCTTAGAATATGTGTTGTTTTTTATTAGTAACTGAATTTCTGATCTAAAGTGAAGAAATAGTAAACTTATAGGAAGTGTTTACAGTTTTAAACACTATAATTAAAAGTTATAGGACATTTGGTAACAATAAATCAACTTTAGAATATGTGTTGTTTTTTATTAGTAACTGAATTTCTGATCTAAAGTGAAGAAATATTTGCACATCAAAATGTTAATGTTTGATTTGTTTTTGTACATTACTTTATCTTGAAACAGTATAGTTGGAATAAAAGAATAGTCACCAAATAATGATAAATTGAACATTTACTGCAATTGAACCAAAATGCAAATCAAGGATAATGTATATGAAGTTTAAAAATACATCTACAAACGTTATGAGTTCAGTTTCTGAATACACATTTAGCCTTACTACAATTCAGCTAAGTTTGGCTGAAATGCTTGATATTAACTATTAATTGCAACTGGTATTAAAGCTAATTAAAAGCATCGAACAATTTGGATAAAACAGTATTACTTATGTGTTTCTGGAAAATAAAATAATGCAGTGCAAACAAAATTTCTACTAGTTTCCCTAGAAACCTTAATAGTATTTCTATATAGATGATTAAATGTTTTGAAGGCGTTTACACCACTTTCTTCATAAAGTTTGATGTAACTTCTCAGTTGTATTGATATTTTGGTAATTTCTAATTACCTGTTGTTGCTTGTAGAACTAATAACCTTCTCATAATGAAAGACATAGTGTGTTATTTGTTATTATGTTTAAAAACATTTATTTTTATTGCTTGCATAGATATTTAAAGTAATTGAAATGTTTGAACCTTTCAGAGGAAAGTTGTTCAACTGCTGAAAGAAGTAGACTTTGCAGTAGAAAGAGAAGCAAATCTTAAAAAAGATGCCGAAGAACAGCATCAGAAGCTGTTAGAAAAGAAACTGAAACCTAAAGGAAATGTATATATGACTCAAAATCCATCTTAGTTTTCTGGTAGTTTGTTTAGGATGTATAAATTTCAAAAATATACTATACTATTTACTTCAAAGACCAGTAGATGGCAGTATAATATTTGAACAACATATTTGGGAAATTGCCAAATACCATAAGAGTAGTTATCTCAATACTGCCAGTCTTACCCCCAGATACCATTGCATTTAATTTCATCAAAACAGATGTCTTAATGCTATCATAACAAAGAGTAATTAACTTGACATGTTGTTATAATAGTCATCTTAATACAATCTTTTGACAATGCAGATACTAAAAGTGTTAACACTATGTTTTTCAAGACTAGATGTCAGAAGAACATTTCCTGGCAATACCAAATGTTATGACGTTACATGTCTTAGCTCCAAACTTGTATTTCTGGTTCATCAGTAATTGGTCAATAAACTGATTGATCAGCTACTTTTGACAGCATATTTGATGTTTTAATTTTGACTCGGTATTGGATTAGAAGTTAAATGTATTATAATTTTAATCTAGCCATTGAGAAGAAGTTATGTAATAAAGTAATGAGTCAACGTGTTTTTGAAGATGAACTAAACCATTTGATATTTTAATTTTAGTCCTGCATTGAATAAGGGATTATATAATTTACTGATTGACCATATACTTGTAACAATGTTGAAAACTAGTAAAGCATTGTAATTCAGTGTCATGATATTTGTGATGAAAAAATTCCATTAGATCAGGCCTATAAAATTAAAAATATATAGAGTATCCAAGGAAAGATTTTTTGCTACAGAATTTACTTTGGAGAAATTCTAAGAAACATGAACCAGAAAACATGGTTTTAGCATTTATTAATTGTACGTAACAGCCAAATAAGACAATTATCACACCTCACATTGCACTAATTTTATCCATCTTAAACCAAGGACTTTATTTATTTTTCATACAGCTATCTTTTTTTTACTTTTTTTTATGCCCAATGAACCCTCTGACATAATTTTTGAACTTGCTTGATGTAAATTATATAGCTTTGGCATACAAAAATTATGCCAAGTTACAGGCTTGCATTAGAATGCAGATTTTTCCTTTTTACACTTCATTTGAAGACCATCATGAACAAACTAACCCTCAAATTACTTAAACTTTATACTGCTGGTGAGGGCCACATACTGTACAATATTAAATATTTTCATGTTTTTGAGTGTTACAACATTCATTGTAAAGAACAGACCAAAATACTGTGTACAACCATTTATTTAAAATACATAGGGAGCTCCAGTAGTAGTTAACATGATTGTACTGTTCATCATATTGGTGTGACTTATATGCTATAAGGGACTCTGTAACTACTAAAATCATTGATTTGCAATCGATGTATTTAAAAAGATATTGAATGACATTGATAATTCTAGAATTAAAAAGAATGTAAAAAAAAGTCTAATGTGTTTTTATCACAAATATTCAGCCTATATTCCACTGGTGAGTCAGCCTTGAATAAAAAGTTATTAAACTGTGTTTGCCACCTTTTCAGATGTTTATCAACCATTAAATAAAATATTATATAATGACATAATGAATCATTTACTTCTGATATTAACCCTATGTTGTTTGAGGTATTCAGTGAACTAATGATGAGTAGTTGCTTTTGGTAACATTTCAGATTTTTAAACTTGACCCAGTGTTGTTTGAAAACTGATCAATAAAATAACAGCATTTCTAATACTTGATAGTTGATTCGCCCGATCATCGATAAGAAGTTATTCAACCACATTTGGCAGTATTTTTGATGTTTTCAATAAACAGATGGATCAGCAAATTTTTTGTTAGGTTCAAATTCTGGTGTGCTTGGTAAGAAATTCTTCATTAAATTAGCAAATTGGTTACTTCCATTATTTTAATGTCTTTTATATTGAGCCATTGGGGAGTAAGAAGTTTGTGAAAGTTTATGAAATTTAAATTGGCGAAACTTAAAATGTGAAACCACAAATTTGCATGTATCTCGGCATGGACCCAACAAACCTTCATGCCAAATTTGGTGAAGATCCATCAACAGAAAAATCCAATAATTTTTGTGTTTTCGTATATGTATGTTACTTCTACAAATCAACACTTATTTTAATATATTATAAGGAAAGACTTGTATAAACTTATACAAGGCAGAATTTTTATAGCTGAGCTTTGATTCCATCACATCAAAGTATAAACAAGGTTTTCTCCCTGTCAGAGAAATTCACTGTGAGAATGATATTAAAACTAATAACTTCCTCGTTGAACTTACAAAAATAAACAAGAAAAGCAATCTGTCTTGATGTTCACACCAACGGTTATATGTACATTACATATTCGTAAACATTCTACGTGCACTGATTATATGAAAAAAAAAGTATATAAGGTAACAAACTCCTATTATAGTTTTGAGATAATGTGTATTTCAAAATATAAAAAAGCCCAATGCAATGAATTTTATTCAAAAACATTTTAGTATAATTAAAGTGTTAAAGTAATTTTTGTGAGTGAAAAGTGATGTTACGAAGTTTGATGAAGTGCTTTGGCTTTATATACGAGAAAGCTTTTACTTTCTATATGTATACCGAAGTGCTAATAAAAACAGTTCTTTTCGTTACGTGACCTAAATTCTAACAACTAGGGTTTGAATAACACAGAATTTCGTGCCTTGTATACTACATTAACGGAACATATTTTGAATATGTTTTGCGTTATCGATATACTTTTTTTTGGGGGGGGGGGATAAACCACGAATACATTAAGAAGCAAGTTTTAAATCTTAAAAATTTCTATAATTTCAAACGCTTGCGTGATGTACAGTAACACGGTATCAAGTCACCATTGCTATGAATGTATATAATTTTTTATCGTTTTGATTTTGTCAGGTCTTTAATAAAAACATTGGATTAATATTTGTTAAAGTATTTTAAAATGTTTAGCTATTTAGTATAGCGGAACTTTGTTTCCTTGAGCTTAAGCTCATTGATTATTCCACAAGTACGCTGGAGATCAGAGACATGTCAGGAATTTATAAACAGTTGCCAAGTAATCAGACATATCATCAGAATTTGTAAGCAGTACTTGTATAAATAAGTAACAAACTATAATTTCTAAACAATTCTCGCCTGTTTAAAAGAGGGAGATAAACTCACTTTTGAATTAGTTCTAAATTACAAGTAGGAAATCAGAGATAAACCTACACTTTAACCAGTTCTAGAGGAACGAAGGAGATAATTCCAAAGGCCTTGTCAATTTTCAGGTAAGCAGGATTTCAGTGTTGCGTCCTGACCTTCTGCTCAGTTCTCAGATAAGTAAATGAAGGTTATTCCTAGTCGAATGAACTAGTAAGTAGTCAGGTGGTTAGGGCGCTCGACTCGCAATCTGCGGGTTGTGGGTTCGAATCCCCGTCACATCAAACATGCTCGCCCTTTCAGCCTTGGGGGCGTTATAATGTGACGATCAATCCCACTATTCGTTGGTAAAAGAGTTGGTGGTGGGTGGTGATGACATTAATTTCTTCATTAAAGGTAATTAATACATGATGTTTGTTTTAATTCGGAACCATTTAATTGACACAAGTAGGAAAATGGCGTAATTCGAAAACATTAGTAGTTGCGTATGGTGTTTCTCACACCTCCAAATTCGTAGTCATGATCCAATCAATGAATGCCTCGCCCGCTTCATGGATTGTACCATATCCCCCCGGTACCGCAATGACCGGACAGTGCAACACGAGATAGTCTGTGTTTTGTGGGGATTCCTGACATGCTGGGCATATAGGGGATTCACGGTAACCCCACCGATACAGGTTGGCCACTTTTCTGCCATGGCCTAACCTCAGCCTGTTTTCGAAAACAGAAAATGTATAACACGTTAAGCTATTGCACAGACCTGCCAAGTTTTTTACAATTCCCTGTTAGATACTTCTTGAATTCACTTGCATTCATTATGTTTGCCTGCAACGATAGCTTTATTATTCGCTCGGGGTTGTGGGAATTAAATCCTTTGATAGAAGTAGTTGATTAACGATCCTCTACAGGCATCATAAGATATTACCTCTCGTAAATGCATAACGTATAATCTCGCCTTAAAAACTAAACTAATAATATAAAACAATATCAGGGAATAACGTGAACTCTTACGTTCAGAAAATGTTAAATTATAATCCAATATTAGTTGAGCATTAACATCGGCGTTCTTTTGGGGTGAGATGCAACTTGACATATTTCCAATTCAATTATTTGCCCTTAACTGAAAAACAGAAAACTATCGGATATTAAAAGCATTCATATAACAGGCCTATATGGACAGAAATTTGAAATTAATGCACTACATACGTCCAAATGACAGCATTTTTTGGCAAGTAAAAAGCACAACTTTAATTTATCTTCACATTCATCTCACGGACAGTGAATTCAAAGATTACAGCGCAAGTCCAACCAGGCGTTGTAAATCAACACCTTCAAGTAACTGAATGATCACCTACTGCGCAGAATTTTAAAATGAAGCAACAGAACTGATATCGCATGACAACAACTTTTAGCCCTTTATTACTTGAATGACATACATCAACAGTTTTACGTAATCAAGTTCATTTTAATTAAGTTGTCAACTGTCCTTACAATTTTCTCACTTAAGGTGTCCTGGTAATGGCTTGTCACTCTCTTTATAAAACTGTAAATTAGAGAGCTTGGCGATTATAAAATGTAGATTTTTTTGTAGACCAGGAGGGAACGACAAAAGTTGAATTTTAATTATTTGAATTTGTATAACATTACACACTCATAACACTTTTTTGTGCTAAATGTGCACGACAGGAATATTATGAAAATCATAGTTGTGTGGCAAACAGAGCTACTTACAAAAATATTCCAGCACCAGGAATATGGAACTTGGGTGGAGGTTATACAATACCGTCGATCTACCACAAAAAGACTAGTCCAAGTACAATGACGGTGCGCCTTATTGTTTGCAACATTAAATCATATTGTTACGTCTCCGTTCGTTAATTGATTTCCCGTAAATTCGTTCCGACGAAACTTTAGCGACACAAGTCCTTTCTTGAATAAAACTGGTTTATTCTTTCCGAATACAACTTTACGATACACTCAACTTCAACAGTCGCGCTATAACAAACTATAATTCACGTCTCTCTCTGACTGCAGTTCAATTACTCATTACTTACACACGTTATCCGTCACGTTGTGAGCGTCTTATATATATATACCAGACTAACATATATCTAGTAAATGCTAGGGCATTCACGAAGGAACGGGATATTTCTAGAAAATAGGTGGCGTGACACTAGTCACGTGACCTCGCCGACGCAACAATATTTATTTTATTACCTTCTTTTGTCTTTAGAAATAATTTAGCTACTGTACAGTTTGCAAAATGTAGAATAATTGAAATCAATCTTTTTTTTACATGAAATTAACGAAAATTATGTATGGAAATTCACTTACATTTTATACATCGAGAAATATACTAAAAAAACGTTTAGCCACATCAAACGTTTCCGCGAGAATAATATATAAATAAAACTCAAAATCTTTCTGATTGTTTGTTTGCTTGCTTGTTTCTTCTTCACGTACACTGCGCAGGTCACATTTCCGTCATGTGAAGGTGCGCAAAACGACAATTTTTCATTGATATACACGTCTATCTTCTGCTAGCCGAACCGCTAACGTTATCGTTAACTTATACATTACACAAATAAATTCTACGCAGACTTGACATTTTTTGGTAAGTTTGAGTTAACATTTAACTTAGAATATAGCATTATAGGCCTATTTAGTTATAGATCATTAACTATTCGTCTACTAATACATCATATATTTAGCCTCAGACAGAAAAGAAATGAATGCAGAATTAGAATGTGTGTGAAAAAGCAAACAGTAGGCCTAGCCTATAAAATAAAATTATGCCGTATGCCATCAAATAGACTACGTGAGAAGGGTAAGGCTTAAATTATAATACTTATTGTGTACAATACGATTAAAGTCAAGCCAGCGTAACTGGTAGAGCGCTTGCATCAGGTGGCAGATGAGTTGAACCTCTTTACCGTTCCTAGACGTCTTAGTTGAAAAAGATGACTTTCGTTTTCTCACCAGTATATACAGAAAACCTACATTTACAGGACAATACACACGATGGG